ACTCATTCAACTGCACCCTACACATAATAATCAAGGGAGTTGCAGTCTGGGGAGTTAAGTGGCCAGATGTAAGGGGTGATGTGATCGCAGAAATCACCATTAGACTTATCCAAATCTTTCCAAATCCTCTGCACTGTCCTCAGATTAACATTCTGAAATGTTCGTATCGGAGCTTCTGGCTCGAATGCCAAGCAGTATAGCATGCTGTTTCCAAATTTCTGACAGAACAAATTGTGTCATGGTGCTCTTTTTATCACAGATGGTGCCCAACTGACCCTACTATACTATGCAGCTGACAAAATCAAAAACAAACAATGCACATACACAAAACTAAAAATATAAATGGCAATAATTTACCCATGGCACCCTATATATATATATATATATGTGTGGGTATGTGTATGTCTGTGTGTGTTCCTATATAAACAAGGGGGGTTGCTGAAATGTCTCAGGCTGAGTAAGAAAGAATTTTTTTAAAATTCTGATGTTAGGGCATTTGGTCAGATTTTGTGAAATAAGTCTAATCAAGAACTTTTCAGCATCACCATACATGTATTTGTGTATGTGTGTGTGCGTGAATGTGAGTATGTACATGTATGAATGCCTGTAAAGAATGTATGAGTGTCTATGTTTAAAAGACTGATTAACAAATATGGGCAGATAAGTGATGATTTATATAATCAAATATGCACAGTTTTTGTTTTGTTTTTTTCAAAAAAAGCAATATAAGTTTGACTATGGTTGGATAAAGATTCTCCTTGCAGATAACATACAGATATAGGCTTATTAATACGTATGCATACACTGCAAGAAGACACATGCATTTAAAATTTCTCTATCCCTCAGGATGTCTTTATTATTATTAATAGATCAAACTGAACCAAATTATATATGTTGGTGAGTATTATTAGCATGTGTGAGTATATATATTAATTTGATATAATAGTTACCAAAATTTTTTTTTAGCAAAATCTTTTATTACTATAAATTCATATCCTCATTATTTAGCCATCAAAGCATTTTCCATGTGTTTCTATGTTCTTAAATCAAGTGTTCATTTCTATGATTTTCTATGATTTCATTTCTATATCAATTGTTCATTTCTATGCACTTAAATCAATTATTCATTTCAACAATTCTGGTTTTGATTTCCAAAAAATTTTTTTTAATTATTTTATAACTTCACCTTGTTGGAATCCATGTCAGGCAAGACGGATTAAAGTGAAACAAAGTTTAATGATTGCAGGGCTGGAAAATATGCTTCCTGTACAAGAACTTCCCAGATCAACTTATTTACTGTTGTTTTTACAACATATATGTAAGTATTTCAACATTCAACTATAATTTTCATGTAGAACACATTTTCCATATGTCTGATTTTTTCCAAGGTTTTTTTTTATTTTTTTTATTTCTATTACATTTAACAATATTCTTAGTGGATTTAACATGGATGCTGTTTGGTGGTCTATAGAATGTACAGTTCAGTAATGGATAGTGGCTCAGATTGTGGAATCAGAGAGCAAAGTTCAAGTTCCAGTCAAGTTCATTACATTCACTTACATGTAAATACTCTTGGGAAAGGTATGAATCCATCTCTTCTCCTCCAAGCTATGGGTAAATAGCAGGACAGACTGGGTCCTATAGCCTTGGGTGGTGACCAGTCTAGGAGAAAGACAACTCTGAATTGAAAACTTCCAGCTATGAGTTAAATTGCCTTACCAATTTGCAATTGCCCAAGTATGGTGAGAACAGCTAAACCCCTGAAGACATGATCAATCAGGGAGAGGTTCCTCTACCAGGATTGAGAAAACTTTAGATTTAGATTTGGTTGTTTGGTAGGATGGTAGACTGATTAAGATCGTAAGCCAGTTTAGGGATCTCCATCGTTTGACTATATGTTAGCACTGGCTCTTCTTACAATGTTAGCCTCTTGGTTGGCATTGGGAGGATATCTAATGGAAGCATAATTAGACAGGCTGGTACCTGGTTTTCTCTTAGTGTTATGATGTTGATTTGGGGTTAGTAGAGACAAACGCCAAATAACACATAACAATAAAAAGGGTTTTAATAGGTTGGTAAAAAGGTACAGAAATCACCTGAGTAGTCAATAACTAGCTCAGCTAAGAACTTCTGTCTATCTGTCTTTCCCATATCAACTGACATGCCACTATTTAAAGTCTTTGTTCACAGACGCAGACAAGTTCATCTTCAAGAGGGGTGGTAGGTTTCCGACACAACACTTAGCAACATTATATTTTTACCTGAGTGTGACTTTTAGGCATTCTTTAGCATAGGCTGTGAAGATTAGCAATTGCCAAATAAGATTTGTATCTCTAGATAAGGAACAAATAGGAAACATCAATAAATTTAACATATTTTGCTTTTATTTAAGCTTCATCAGAAATTTTTGAAAATTAATTGTAAAAGAGAAGTTCTCATACTTTGAGTTCTTCTGTACAGGTAGACATGGATGTATTTAAGGGAGATAACTACCTCCTCACATACAGAAAAGAAATCAAACACCACAGAAAGCTCACAACTGAACAACAAATAGTACAGAACTAAAAGTACTGGAACTTTCTCTCCCATAATTAATTGAAAGGTATGTTGAGCATATGATCAACAGAGAGATAAAAATAGTTTAAGATAGATTGAAAGATGTTATATAGGAATAAAATGATGCTGCTGATACTTGAGTTTGAACATAGATCGCCAGTAAGTAAACGCAGGTGATCCCATTATTGAATTAAGTAAACCACATGACCATAGAGCAAACACATATATAGGAAGTCGCGTGACATCTAAATGATCTTTTTGTAGTCTATCCTCCATTACTATACAGACTGCTATTCTCTATTCTGTTCTCTACACTATTCTCTATTCGGACCACTATACAGATTACCATTTCAGCGAGTATTATCGAGCAAGTACAATTAGTGCGAGTGCTTTTTGAAGGCATCTGACACCCATATTGTTCAATGGTGTACTATAGTTGTATCTGCAATTACAAAGTCTCTACTACAATGAGCATTACGAAAGTGACAACAAGTATTTGTTGGCATCACAAAAGAGGCAACAAGTGTTCATTGACATCACAAAAAAGATATAAGAAGATTTTAATAGATATAAACATTCCTAAACAAGAGGCCAGTTTAAACAGACTGTAGTTATTAGATGTTTGGGCTTACAGCTATATCATGTTGAAACACCAGTTCTCATAAAAGCACCAAAGTTAAGCAATGTCATTAAGCAACCAATATTTTATTGAATCCATTTAAATCCATGGTTAATTTTCCAGTAGCTGCTGTAAAAAAAGGATCTCCATAAAATAATGTATCTATCACTATGCTTCATTTTTGGCCTTGTAATTTTTCTACATCTTGCACACTCTTCTTTTATCTCCAAACATAATGCCAGTTATTTTGATAAAGTTCAGGTTCTGTTTCATCCAAACAAATATCTGTATTCCGGTAATTAATCAATTAATCCAAAAACTTTTAAGTGAATACTAATTGAGCTCTTTTATGCATTATTTTCACTAGTGTCTTTTCAGTTAAACCCATCTTTAAAAATGTTCTGCAAACTGGTGAGGTATGTATATCTGTTTCAGCACTCTTGAAATTTGTCTGAATATCCTCAAAGTCTAGTTTCAGGTTGTGATTTTAGTCACCTCACAAGTTGAAATCTTCCTAGGACAAGTTGACCTTGCAACCATTGATATGATATTAATTTCTTTCCATTTTATGAATGATGGATAAGACAGCGAAATGGGGTATATAAAACTGCTTGAAAATTTTTTACAACCTTCCCTGGATTGATGAGCCTCAATCAGTTTCATTTTATTTATTTTTTAGGTCCTGTGAATGCTCTTGTTTTCATTATTGAGTGAATATTTAATCTGGAAAATAAATTTATATAAACCTTTTAAAGTGAGGCTGAGCACTAGAACATGCAAGGGGATGAGGTAAGAATGGCTCAGTTTTAGCTGACTTAATTTACAGCTAAATTTATTTTTTCACTTAGGCAAAAGTTATTATTGCTAATTATTGAAAGGTAATAATAATAATTCTTTCGTATTTATTTTCAGTTGACATATTAACTGCTTTAGTAATAACTAGTGCTAAGTAGATAAATGTCATTAAATCCAACTTGAAATGATTGTGCAGAAAAATAATTTAGCGGTCAAATATGATTGTGTATAACTGTATAAAAAAAACTGTGAAAGACAGATAGGTATGAAGAGATTGTGATAGATTTATCTATCACATTCTCTTCATATCTAAATATATCTGAAGCATGCAATCAACAATCATGTGATTTTACACCAGTAAGGTTTATAATACAAATATTGGTGCATAATGGAATGACAAAATGGAAAACATCCTATGTAATGTGTTTTATCCTTCAATAGGACTTCAGGCTAAATAATGTTTTTTTTTTTATGGGATCATATATATGTAGGATTAGGGGATGGAATACAAACAAATGTCAGTTATACAGTATGTGGCAGAAATACCTCCCACATAATAGTAAGGCATTAGTGACAATGATGTCTTCATCTAGCTATTGTCTTGCCATTATGCAGGAGGTATATGAAGGTGGTATTTCTTCCACCCTCAAATACAATTAAAAGAAAACTATAAGAAACACTGAAAATGCAGGGATGCTCAGCTTTAAATATTCATTTTAAATTTCTAGCATCCAATGTGTCTACAATAATTGATTGATTTGTTTTTTATGGCTTATTGATATTTTTGCAGATTATTTAAAGCCAGAAAATATTTTTAGAGCATACGATTTTTCTTTTTTAAGAGATAAAAATTATTTACTGATACAAGTTCTACTAATTAATCCATATCTGATGGTGAATAGCTGGATTAATACCTTTCCTAAGAGCATTTGCATGAAAGTTAATACAATGGTGTCCAATTGGAATTTGAACTCAGATCTCCAATTTCTAATTCCAAGCTATTATCCATTACACCACCCACACATCCAAGCTTACAACATCTGATATTCCCAAGTGGTCATCCATCTAGGTACTGACCAGGTTTGATGTTGCTTAACTTTGGTGATCATATGAGAACCAATATTTCAATGTGATATGGCCATGAGCTCTGATGTGTCTAGATGCACAACCGAGACAATTTCATTCAGTTTCCTTACACTAGTGTTTTTATTGCTGTTGATGTTAAATATTTAAATTTAAAATTTTTAAATATTTATTATTTTACATTGTAAATACAAATATTTCTGAATTTTAACTGATGTAGCCTGCAATAATCTGAGAGTGATTGTTTTTTTAAAGTTGAAACTTTCATTCATTTTAATAATTGTAAGTAGAGTAATGGATAGCAACTTGGGTTAAGGAATCTGAGAGCCAAGTTCAAATTCCATTCGAATCCATTACATTCACTTACATGCTAATATCCTTGGGAAAGGTATAAATCCACTTCTTATCCCCCAGCTATGGGTAAATAATGGGACAGACCAGGTTCTATAGCCTTGGATAGCAACTGGTCTACCGCAGAAAGAAATGACAACCTACTACAAGAAAAAAAATCTGCCTCATCAGTCATGTATTGAAAGATACATGATCACCTAAGTGTGTATCACACACAGCACAACTGATATACAAAAATGGCATCCAAAATTTCCAGGAACCAGTTCTATAAAGGAAGGCAATCTTTAATAATATATTATGCTTATTTTCTTTTCAATCTGAGAATGGAAAGAAATCACTTTATATTATCAAAAATAATTAAACCATATTGATAATTTAATGGAAGACATTTATTTATTAAGATATTTCCAGCTTAAAATTCTGTTCTCATCATATTTCTGTTCAGAAGTATGATGCTTTTTGACTCTAGAGTCATCAGCTGTGTTATGGTTTAGCCATATTTGTACTGAATTGCTGCAACCTCAAAGACCTGTCAAATTTATGACAAGAAGATTAGCCACATTTTTAATTTCAAGATGATTTCCTTTGCCAGAATAAATTATATTCATCATAGAAAACCCTCTTTCAGCTACCACAGAACTTTCAGCAATGGCTTTAATTATATTTTTAGCTCTTTGGATTGTTTTGGGTACAACATGTTTATAGTACTTTCTCATTACACTTTCAACGTAATCACAGAAATCATTATTGTTGTGGTAGGTGGAGTGTTCCTATGAGAGTTTCATTAGGGATGAGTGTAGCATAACTAACAATTTACCTAGACCATCGGCTATTAACATATATGATTATCTGTAAATAAACTGACAACTGGTTCGCTAAGCCTTTATAATTTTAAGAATTGGTTCACACAAACAGGTGCAAAGCCTCCACAGATTGCATGTACTGAGCTGGTCAAAAATGGTCTTCTTGTTTTGCTGTTATATGACATTTTGAGTGTTTGTTTTTAACTAACTTCATTCAAAAGGATCACTATTCATTATATTGTGATAGCTGTCATATATCAGAATTAAAAAAAAAACATGTCAAATATATTTTTGTTTATTGAATTTAACATTGTAGAAAGAAGTAACATTTTTGACACAGTATGGTAAAATGAGAAACAGAAAAAGCAGTTCATGGAGAAAATGTTGCAAATGATTGAATGTGCCAAAAATGGTTTACAAAGTTTTGTTTTTTTTCCTGCAGATTTCTCACTGAACCATGTTCCAAGATCAGGAATACAAGTTGAGGTTAACAGAAATCAAGACATTACTTGAGAATAATCAAACATTATATGACACAGAAGATAGCCAGTATGACTTAAAATATTATAATCACATATTTAAAATCTTTTACATTAGTTTGGTTCTGTTAATAATATTGATATGTGGTTTCCATATCAGTTAAGTGAAGAAAAAATTATAGGATCATATTTATTTGTTCTGTTTGTTAAATAAATTATAATTGGATGCCTTACAATAATATGAAAAATAAGGACATGTGCCTCAGCCTAGCTATAAGTGAAATCAAGATACCATCCTTTCAGTCAAGACATTACTTCACCAAACTGTGAAATATACAAATTGCTAAATACCTATTATAAAATGAAAGTGAACATGTTCCAGTGAGGAAGCAGAAAGATGTGTAGTAACTTAAACAAGTCAATAAAACAACACATGAAAACAATGGCAAGATCTAGTTCTTTGCCTTGAGAATGATAGACAAGAATTCTCTACCTAGTGATGTTGTGAATGGCCCAATGCAGCACATCCTAGCATATATATATATATATGTATATATATACAAACTCACATCAATCCACCCAAATATGTTAGCTCTATCTCTGATATTGAGCGCTTTCTAATAAGTACCGCACATATAATATATAAATAATAATATATATAATATATTACATATATATATATTTATAATTATATACACACACTTTTCACACACACACACACACACACACGCATGCACACACACACACACACACACACATATATATATATATATATATATATATATATATATATATATCCATGGGTAAGTAATCCAAGTAGATCCTATTAATATAAAATATTAAAACTGATCCACAAAAGAGAACTCAATATAATTTTTTATTATAGAGTATATAAGTGAATTACAATTAATGAGATCCAAAATCGTTTGGTAAATCATTTGTATCTCATTAATTATAATTCACACACAAACACACACACATATATATACATGTATATAAATATAAACATGAACATTGAAGTCAACACTCAGAGGTGACAGACTATTTTATGCATCTAGCATGAAACAGTCTGTCGCCTCTGAGTGTTGACTTCATTGTTCACATTTATATTTACACATGCTCTATCTCTGATAGTGAGCACTTTATCCCATAAATATAGCACGCCTTAAAACTTTATTTATATATATATATATATATATGATTTGAAAACATATGAGGTCCAATCAAAAGATATTGTGACTGTTGCTATGGTAACAGAGCTAAAGTATTCAGAATGAAGCTACTTGTCACAGATTGACCTTGAACCCTGTTGTCACATATGCACAATAAGTTATAATATTTTCGCTCAGTTCCATTGTTTATAGCAGTGCTTGGGAGGAAAGTGTGTAGAGTGTGGTTGTCTCACCACACCACAAAAGTTTCATCATTAACCATGGTAGAGAAAATTGAGCAAAGAATCTTGCATCAAATTTTGTCAAAAGCTTCACGATACCTGCACAGGGACCTACACAAAGTTGTAGAAAATGTATAGAAAGGAATGTATGAGCCAGACTCAAGTGTACAAATGGTTCAAACATTTCCGAGAGGGCCGACAAAATGTCAACAATGTTCTTGGAAATTCACAGCCAACAGAACTAATGAAAATACTGTAGATGTGCATGCAACTGTTCAGAAAGCCCATCAAATTATGGTGCATGAGTTGTCAGAGGATGTGAACATTAGTTACTGTTCAGTTCACTCCATTCTCACTGAAGATTTGGGTATAAGACATATGTCTGCCAAGTTTGTGCCAAAACTGCTTTCAGTCAACCAGAAAGAAAATCAGGTTTCAGCAGCATATGATCTCCTTAATTGTGTCAAGGAAGACAAAAACTTTTTGAAAATGGTCATAACAGGTGACAAATCATGAGTCTATAGTTATGACCCTGAAACCAACGCTCACTATAAGACCCCAAGCTCTATAAGACTAAAGAAAACACAAATGAGTCAAATCAATGTGAAGACACTGTTGACAGTGTTCCTCAACTACAAGGATATTGTTCATCATGAGTATACTCCACCTGATCAGACAGTAAACAAGGAGTACTAACATGATGTATTACAGCATTTGCCAGATGCTGTTCATCAGAAAAGGAAAGAATTGCATGTATGTGACAACTCTACCATGACAATGCACCTTCCCACTCAGAACAGTTTGTGCAGCAGTTTTTTGCCAAGGACAACATTCCCCAGGTCTGACAACCACTATATTCCACAAATCTTGCCACTTGCGACTTTTTACTCTTTCCGAAAATCAAATCCCACTTAAAAGAGCAAGATTTCAAGACATCGAGGAAATCAAAGAGAATGCAAAGAAGCAGCTGGTCGCTATCCCAAAAAAAGTGTTACACGAATGCTTCCATCAAAGGAAATGATGCTGGATAAAGTGTGTGGTTTCAGAAGGGAACTACCTCAAAGGAGATTAAATGTTGAATTGATATGTTTTATTTTATTTTTATAGCACCAGTCCTTATATTTTCTGATATTTTTTAGACCTCATATGTGAAAATTAATAGAATTTAATACATTTTTATGCCAGCTGAACTTCTAGCAAAAAAAGTGATCAACAGATAACTAGAGATATAGTATTCAATATATCAATAAAAGTTCAATGGACTTATCTTCTTGACAGACTCCAGAGTTTCACATTAAAATGCTCATCAAAGCCAGATGTTTAATGTATATATGTGTATATAAGTTTCATTAAAGACAACTGACAAGGTACTGAGATTAAGCTTTTTATTCTAGTTTTCTTGTGTTTGCATAAGTGTTCTCTTCTCTGGACATAAAGTGTGTAAAAACTGTCCAAATGTCCTATATATATCCAAACAATTTCAGCTATTCTATTAACATGAACTATGAACTTGGTCACAATGTTCTGACCATCTTTGGAAAATTAAAAAACATTCTATCACTCTAGATACATATATAAAAATCTACACATTCACTTAAAAATAAAAATGAAAAACATCCTTGACAATGGCTAGTACAATAGCTGAAAGATATAGAGATATATAGAATATTTGGAAGGTTTTTACATGCTTTATGTCCAGAAAAGAAAACACATTTACAACACAAGAAAAACTGAATAAAAAGCTTAATCACAGTATTTTGTGAGTCATATTTAATGAAACTTGTATAAAAGAGGGATTGCTGCCCAAATACACCATATATATATATATATATATATATATATATATATATATATATATATATATATATTTATTAATTTAAATTTTTTGGATTCCCATGTTTGAGTAGATGCTCCATTTATTTTAAACAGTATTTTTATTTTGTCTACTGGCCTGAACATTCGAGAAAAATGTGCCATTCAGAGAGCCAAAAGAGCCAATTCAGGCCAGTAAAATAAAAATACTGTTTAATATA